CGTGTGTGCGTTTGTGTCGTGTGTGTGTGAGCGTGTGTGTGTGTGTGTGTGTGCGTGTGTGTGTGTGTGTGCGTGTGTGCGTTTGTGTCGTGTGTGTGTGTGAGCGTGCGTGTATCGTGTCTTGCAGACTCCAGGGAGGGGCAGGGCCCTCGGAGGTATGGACAGGGCGGGCGTCCTCGCGGCACTCGCCGCCGGAGGCGCCGCGCGGGGTGCGCGCGTCCAAGGCCGAGGTCCCTACCGTTTGTTCAGTAGCAGATGTGCGGTCGTCTCCGTCACGTAAGACGAGGCCACGACGAGGATACTTGCGGGTAAAGAAAAATCGAAAATCTCTGAAGGATGTCTCGGGCGCTGCGGCCTTGGCAGAGCATTCCCGGACGCTCTGAGAGCGTTCTGGAACGCTCTGGAACGGATTGATCCTCGTCCTAGCCCCGTCCGACAGTCGTCCCCGTCCCTGTATTATCCCACCACCATCGCGAGTACTGCGCACTCGGGATGAGGCGACATGAAGTCCCGCCTCCCGTCGGAATATCCTGCACACTCGGATCTCGCACACGATTCATGGGGAAACCAAACGGTGCCGAAACCGCTACTCCCCGGACCTCTCCTTTGGTGCGTTCAGGCGCATCCAGCGGTGGCGACGAGGGCCGCCCAGGAGGCCCAAAAAGGCGAAGACGAGGGAAGGGTAATTGGGGGTATGGGTACCTCTTCCTCCTCTGAATTCAGAGGACGCCGACGACGAGGACACGATTGCAGAGAAGGGGACGAACGACGAGACGACGGGGGAGAGTGAACTGCCAGGGCGGCGAAGCTCGTGGCGCTCTCGCGCCCGTGCGCCAGCGTCCCTGCCCGTGCTCGGCTGGACGCACGAAGGGGGGGCGGGAAGAGGACCGATGCGCGGGAGAGGAGCCTTGGAGCGTGAGGACGCCCCTCCCACGCACTGGAGGCCCCAGAATGGGCCCTCGTCCCCCCCTGTGTCCCCAGGGAGGCCACGGGAAGCCTCACGTGGAGAGCCGTGTGAGGTTCCGCCTGCGATTGTGGAGGTGCAGATGGCCTGGCGCGCTCTCACATCCACGCCCTCCTGACGCCTGGAGCACCGGTGCCCTGGGGCGGTGGGCACGGGCGAACTCCTGGCCTCGGGGCGCGAGGCTCTCCGGACGAGGCCAGCACGAGGACAACATCGGACAGGCGTAGCTCGGGGATCTCTGGGACCCGGCGGTTCTGGAGGACGTATCGGGCGCCGCGGCCTTCTCGGAGCGCTCTGGAAAGCTCTGAGAGCGTCCTGGGACGCTCTGGTGAACGTTTTCTTACTCGCGGTTCGGTATGGAGCGAAAGTGGTGAGAGTGAGAAGAGACAGCGAAGGCCACGGGTTGCGCGCCCTCCTGGCGCAGCCAGAAAGAACGTGCGCCACGCTGGCAACGCACCGACGCGTCAGACA